CAAATATTGACGTTACAGAAAATTCAGAAATTATTTGAAAAAAATCGAAATAAAAATGAAACTTCCACATCCTGTATCTCGAAAACTAAGCATTTTCGGACATACATTTATACGAACCTTTTTACTTATTTTTATCTGCAGAATATACTCCTGAAGTTTCCGGAATACAGTTCGGACCACCCTGTATATGACTATAAAAAACGAATATTGGGTGGCATATATTCACTTCAAAAATGATTTCGTAACTCCTTTTTTCAGGAAAAGAGGGGGAAGCTGTTGTACCCTGACCTATATGAAGACGAACGATGTCTAAAAATAAACCGGTATAATAGAGGAAGATGCAATCGGAATCGAAACGACCGAGAAAGAATCTTTTTAAAGGCAAATAAAACGAATTACACTCCAACGAAATTGTATTCCGTTCATTTAAAGCCATGATTGTCGCATAAAACTTGCCTCATAAATATGTATAGAAACTGAAATTGTTTGTTATATGGGGAAGGTGGATAGAGAAGATGATATTTGAAAAGTATTATTAGTTTATTATGTAATAATTCATTTGAATTATAATTAGATTTACTTATCTACAAAGAAGTTTTTAACTAACTTGGTAGTAGAATGTAGAATGTTTAGGAGGGGAGTTAATCACCGCAACCTTACAGCTCTATTGTGTGTTCCTCTTTCTTGAGACATAACGAGTTATTACTCATCATAGAGTATCAAGGCTTTAACAAAAGCCAGTATCTGAGACGGCTCCACAGAGCTCAAGTTCATCCATCAAAGTTCATGGCACGAATTGTCGTCGTCTCGGCGCACTCAGTAATAAAGTGTTCTGGTGTTTCCCCATCTTCTCCACGGAATCTGCATTCGCCGTTGTTTCTCAGCTTCAGTCTACTTAGGTGTTCGTTGAGGAGACAGTGTCCTGTTAGAAACCCCGTGACAATCCGGAGATTGTTTTTACTTAAATCAAGGAAAACCTTTGATTTTTCTCGGTCGTAAGTTCTGAGGAACTTTTTCGAGTGTCTTAGACCGTTGGAGGATACCCAGTCCAAGTTACGGATGGAGTCTTCCAGATTCTTCAGTTCGGTTGGTTCCCGTTTGGAAAACAGAACGGTTCTGGTTCAGTTAGTGGAGTGTTCGGTCCTTTTCTAGGTAGATTATTTGATTTTTCATTGCCTTTTATCCCTTGGTGAGCAGGCATCCAGAGTAGGAGGACTTTATTTTCTTTGCCTAACTTGTTGAGCTTCTCTAGGCATTCTTTGACCAACTTCGAATTGATGGTTACTGAGTCGATCGCGTTTAGTGCTGCTTGACCATCAGATAGGATGGCAATTTCCTGTTTTCGATGGTTCCTAGCTAAGATAAATTGTACGCATCTTTCGATACCGTAAATTTCTGCCTGAAGGATACTGGGGTGCTCATTGGTTCGGAGTATTTGGTTTTCGGCTCAAATACCCCTATCCCTGTCCCTGCTTTGGTTTTGGAAGCATCAGTATACCACGTTATGGTACGGTCTTTTATATGCTGAGTAAGCGTTTCTTTCCTTCCAATACTTTTTATTACTCAATACTACAGTGAGGGGTTTCTCAAAGTTGTAAATTCTTGGTATGTCATCCACTGGGAGTTGGAGAAGTGGAATTTTCTTTTTGGGGGTGTTCCAAGCCCCTGACCTGAAAATTCTCCCAGTACTGTTACCGTCAATGACCATTCTAATCATTGTCGCATTGGCATAACTACCGACGACTATATGCAGTGGTGTTAGGTCAAAAAAGACCTCCATTGCTGCTGTTGGACATGTTCTCATGGCACCTGTGATACATGCCAGTCTCTGTACTTTGCACAGGTTTTGCCTTGCTGTACGTTGCTCTAGTTTTGTATACCAAGCAACTGCTCCATAGGTAATCCTGGGTCTTACTATCATGGCATACATCCAGCGCAGAATGTTAGGGGCGCAGCCCCACCTATTTCCTGCCAGTTTTCTGCATATCATGAGAGCCTTTGTGGCTTTGCTGGTAATGTTCTTAATATGCTTGTTCCAGAAAAGTTTACTATCCAGAGTTATTCCCTGCAGATATTTTACTTCTTGTGATGGCAGTATTTCCTTTCCATCTAGATGGATTCTTTTCAAGTTTTTCAAACTTCGCTTTCTGGTGAATGCGAGGGTGAATGGCACTACCGCGGTTTTATCTGAGTTGATACTCAGCCCGACAGTCCTGCACCATCTCTCAGCGATGCGGAGTCCTCTTTGGATAATATCACACAGGGTTTTTGGTAAGCCGAGGACGCACCTGACGAATGTGACTTCTGACCAATCGTTCGCAGTTTTCATCTTTTCAACATACCGTATGGTGCATCGGAACACGATAGAAAATCCCATGTAAATGTTGAAAAGGTTAAATATTATCTCTTCAGATGATTTTAGGCAAAAATTTTATTTGACTTTTTGAAGAGGCGTTAAAGTTGTACTTTCGTCTAGAATTTTCTTATTATTTGGAATATGCATCTAAAAGTTATTTGTAAAAATCTGCCTTCAAATTACTAAAAATATAGAGGGTGTTTCAAAAAACAAATGCCAAGATTTCTTACGTAAAAATAAGACTTATTTTTCATAGCAACATAGGTCCGATTCTGCTTTGTTTCGTAGCTACAGGGTGTTAAAGTTTTAATATTTTTTCGATTTATTATAATTTTTGTCAAAGTACTTTTAGCGTTTCGAATGAAATTTTGAGGGTAAAAGTTACTATAAACGCGACATATTTTAAAGCTAAAAAAGTGTCGACATATTCACCAGGGACGTGCATATGGGTTATCACTGGAATATTTTTCTAAAAAAAGCATGCACGCCACTGACTTTTTTCTCATGTTAGCGAAATAGTGTAAGCAGTTCAATGTCGATTCAAAGTTGACTCTTGATATTTTGTGAATTTCGGCCTCCTTGATGAGATAAACGCAATTTTATTAATTTTCCTTGATCCAATTCTAAAAGCAACTTTTAAAAAAAATTAATAGGTATCATTAACTTGCGAAAGTTTTAAATAAGTACTCATTGATTCCTCATCAAAAATATGAAAAAAATTTCCTATAAACATGGGTATGGAAATGCATAATTTTAGAATTACAGGATGTTAAAACTTTATAAAATTAGTTTTTTTGTTATTACCTTAAATACCATTATTTTTTTATTTGAAATTGCTGTAGGATGGACTAATAGTAATAGTAACTAATACTAATAATATTTATTAATAAATTAGGTAAAATATGTGTATAAAATATTAATTTTACTTTTATTTTAATTTTATTAACTGTAATTAATAAAATTACGTTTATCTCATCAAGGAGGCTGAATTTGACAAAATAACAAGAGATAACTATTAATTGGCATTAAACGGCCTACACAATTCTGATATTGAAAGAAAAAGTCTTGACCAAACCAAACCAAACCAAACTAACATAATCCCCCATTCACAGTCAAACAATACCCCAAATGATTGTAAAATTCACGACTCACATTACAAAATAGTTAAGGGGAGAATCTTTAGCATTCCACAGAGATGTTTTTAGTAATATAATATAATTTCGATTTCATTCTTTGATAGATGGCTATTATTAATTTTGATTAACGTCATATTTTTTGCTATTGTTGAAGTATAACATTTTCCGATAGAACGGAAACGAAATTATATTACCATAGAAACGCGTTTTGGTTTTTGGAAAATGCAACTATATTTTCATGTTTTTTTTATTACCTTAAAACGGTATGGAAATTTGGGAAAATATAAAAGGGAACAAAAAATTTTATATGAAGAATGCATTTTTCTTAATAAATATCACCAATAAAAAACATAATCGGGGGACATACTGTATATTTTTACTAAAAATTAAAAGACAGTACGACATTCTGTATACATTTTCATTGCATTGATATACATATACAGGGTCGCTGATATGTATAGGAGCGGTCGATTATTAGGTAAAATATAAGATGTACCGCAAAAAGTTAAATATAAAAGTTATAGGGTTGTTAAATATCTATTAGCGGGAAATAAATTTAAGTATACAGGGTCGGTCATAATGTCGTGGAACGTCAAAGTTTCATTTTTTTAAATGGAACCACCTGCATATTATTGAATATATCGGTTCCTCCTTCAATTCTAAGCAAAAATCGAGATACACACAACGTACCTCAAACCAACCGTTTCCGAGTTTTGACAATGGCATGCTGCGGAAACTATCATACTAAATAATATTTGACATTAGTTTTCAAGTTAGCATTTATAGATATATAAAATGAGATTATAATATCTGTCCAAGATTATATTAAGTTTGAAGATTACAAAACTTTAGTTTAATATTTCAAAACCAAGACTTGGTGAATTTTGGTACAATAAAATTGTTAAATTTAGGCATATAATCGTAATACACATAATGTACCTAAATTCAACAATTTCCGACATTATTGTAAACGGTGCTATCTGCACGCTGTGGAATTTCTAACAGAACAAGCTAGAATACGACATATCGCGTTGTGCTCGGATGTAGTTTGTATATTAAATTTGGTTTATTGTTATTAATATTTGGAGTTTTTATTACTAGTTTAAAAACAAAGCTACTTAATGAGATGGAGGACGGGTTTACTAGAAAGCGATAACAAACAACACTTGGTTTTTGACAATACAAAATTATTGAATTTTTGAGCTGTCAGAGGCCCGTATTTAGGAGGAGGGGGCCAAATTTTAAATTTTAATTATCATATTAAACTGAAAATTTACATGCGTATATAGAAGCTAAGACAATGTAAAATTATCGTATTGTTGATCTGATACAGGGCCGTATTAAAGAGAATGAACCAAATCTTGAAAATTTTCCCTAATAATCTACCGTTCTCATATATAACAGCGACCCTGTATATTTATAATCTTTTAATCACTAAAACAATACATCAAAACAACAACAACTAGGAATAATTTATAACTACAAACGGCCCGTTTGTCTTGCTTCAGGTTGAGAACTGGATGGAGCGTCAAAACCGACAGTTTGAGTGGTTTCAGCTCCGCACCTACCGTCAACGAACCGCTCGCAGAACAGGAACAGAGAGCTATAGTTCAAGTTATCCAGAGGGCAGAGAAAATAGACGTGACAGAACAGGAACGGGTAGGTGAAATAGTAAAGCCTTTACAATTTTGCTTTGATATGGAATAGAACTTGTTAATTTACATTTTTTAGGTATAAAGTTTCATTCAGAACCGCGCAATTAGTGGAATAAATAGTGGTTTCCATTAGCATAGGAGTTTAGCATTCAGATTTAAATGCTCTTTCAAACTATATTAGAGTTTCCTATACCTACCAGGCTCAGATTTTGAATAAAAAGCGATTTTTCAATAAAATTGCAATCAAGATGGCTGGTGTTGCCATGGCAATTTGTTAGTGTCAGTTAGTAGCTATTTTCAAAATCGACATTAGTTTATGGACTTTATTTAAATTTATAGTAGTTTATTTTTATTTAATTTACCTACAATAGTGTAACGTTTTTAGTTCGTTACAGGTCTTTTTTATATATAATATATGATGTCTGGCCTATCATCACCGGATTCCCTCTCGTTCAGGCCGGATAGTTATTTGGCACGCTTGGTGTAATTTTTACGTTCCCTAGTCGCCAACCCTGCTATCGTTTCACTGTTCTGTGGAGGCGCGATCTGTCAAGATCCTTGTCACATGCCAATGCGCCTCTCTGCGTTTTAACCTCACTTTGTTTTTGGCCACGGTTGCAAATCCTGCTTTTAGAAATGGCAATTTAAATCTTGCTGCAAAATCTGAATCAGCTGCCATTTCGAAGCAACAGGTAAAGATGAGATATTATCTTTATTAGATTCGTTATTATTATTGAATATTTTTAGGGTAGAGTTTTGGATTGACCCACCTTAACTCGTATTTGTATTTTGCTGGCACATTGTTGTTCTTTTGCTTTTGTCCTCCTGAATGTTACATGGAAGAAAGGACAGTTTCTTTGTTTATTATTGAGCCCTCGGAAGTAATTCGAGGTAGGTTTATTTTGTTTATTAGACCTTGTTTAGTTTTGAACAAGAGTTTTATATTTTTAGGGTCCAAAGTACGGGCATTATCCAAGGTCCCAGTAGTATCCAAGGTACGGGTAGTGTTCCCCTGTACCGTTATCTTATGGACGGACTGTGTCCAAGGTATGGGCAGGTGTCCAATATCTATGTATTGATTCCAAGGTTCGGGCAGTATCCAAGGTCCTAGTAGTGTTCCAAGGTACGGGTAGTGTCCCCATATTACCACAGTATGGATGTAGCGTAAGCCCCATGCTGCTTCGTTCCCATCCATAAGCTAGTTAGTAGTTACGGCTGTTCCAATTCATGGTGTCCTCATTCTGGCCCCTTTTGTTGTATTGGATGGCTGAGTACAGAGATGCGAGACCACCTCACGCTGTTACTGTTTTAAGCAAGATTACATAAAGAACAGCTAAGTGTAGATTTAAGTTCTAGTTTTACATTTAACATCTAAAACATTTTCAGTCTTAAACAATAACGTACATCTTAAGTAATATCGTACAGACTATGTTTAGTGGTTAGATTGTTACGAACATTCATGTCGATTTAATATTTAAAATATGATTTAGATCTTAGGTTTCATTACATTACGTCTTGTAATGGTATTGTTTCTATAGATATTTAGTACAATTCTTAACACTACTTTCGTTGATAACCACTATAATAATTATTAAAATTGTACAATGCTATTTACCATCACAGTCCATCTTGAATAAATATAGCCATTAGTTTTAAGTAATATACAACTGTGTTTTCTTTCTCTGTACATGCCTGGCGCCCAATATCTATTTTTTTTTTTGTTTATTGTTATTAATTAGTTTTCTTTCCAGTGAAATACCTTATTCACGACTGCTCTCCGATGAAAAGCTGCCGTTCGCAGTGGTAATGTTTATAAAAAACGCTACACTTTATTTGGCGCCCAACGTGGGGCCTTGAGAAATTTTTACTCGTAACATTTCACTGGAGTCTGACAATTTTTCTAAGTAATTTTCTGACATTAATTTTTGTAGTTTTATCTTTTTTGGCATGATACAGAGGAGGAAACAGTTGCAGTTTTTCTTGGTACGATTTAAGACTGAAATTTTTATTTTATTATTTTTGATACATATTTCTATTTATTATTATTTGGGTCTATAGAATTTAGACAATTTCATATAACGGAGATATATCAGCTGTGTGTTTTGATATTTTTGATATTTTGATATATTTTTGAACCTGGTATACAGGGTGGCCAAGATTTAATGCTTGGACCTGATTTTTATTTTGAGGTTAAAATTTTTAATAGTTTAAAATTTTTATCTTGGTAGATAAACTTGAAAGATTATCTATTGTTGGAACTTCCTTATACAGGGTGGTCAATACCTTTTTGTGACTTTGAATTTTTTTTAATTTCAAGGTGTTTGACATTTGATAAAGTTTGAAACTTTATATTTACAGACATTTTGGTTTGTATTTTCCCCTATACAGGGTGGACAAGCATTAAATTTTTGACTTTGATTTTTTTATATCAAATTTCAAATTTTTTGTTTATTAATAAGTATTTATTATTTTATCAAAAGAAGTAGTTCTTTTAGAAAAATAAAAAGTAGTTCTTTGATTTATATTACGATGACTTTTAGATATATTGGATTCTCTATAAAAGAACCAATTAAGGCCAATAAAATCTTAACCAATTAAATCTTCTTCACTTCCAACAACAGGTTTCTGCCTAATAAGTTTTTCATATACCACAGTATCAGCTCTGCGGAATAGGAAAAGTAGTATTTCAAAGGAACTCTTATCAAAAAAAATCCTATTCGGATATATTTGCGCATAAACCCTTCAGCAGCCAACAAGCAATTGTCCTCATAAAATAACTAGTAACATATCCATTCCTTCCGCCAGCAGATACTGCTTCATTTTTCTTGATAAAATAATAAATACTTACTTATTAACCTTATTGTAGGTAAATTAAATAAAAGTAACCTCTTATAAATTTAAATAAAGTCCACAAACTATGTCGACCTCGAAAATAGCTACTAAGTGTCACTAGAAAGTTGCCATGGCCACACCAGCCATCTTGATTACAATTTTATTGAAAAAACGATTTTTATTCAAAATCTGAGCCAGAGCAGCATATGAGACCCTAATATAGTTTGAAAGAGCATTTAAATCTGCTTCGATTTATTTAAAAAAATACATAGTATTGCATTTAAAATAACGAAGTTTTTATGTAAAATAAATACTTAAAATAGACCAGCAATTTTTGATACCCCTGTATACATTTAAGAAAGCAATCAATTTTTTTTATTAAAGTCCGGCTTGAAAGTCAGCACAAGAATTAAATCCGAAAAGTAATGTACGAGGTGATGACAAACTTTTTTTTTATATCATGCATATTTAAATATCTTTAAATATCTCAAAAACCGAAGCTTTTAAACATATTAAACCCTTATTATAAATGTCTTATTTTATGTTCAAGAATCCAAAAATGAAATAAAATACCGGGTGCTCCATAAGAAAAGACATAACTTTGGTATGGATCTTAGTTCAGACACACCCTGTACATTTCAAAATAGTTTAAATTATGCACATTGCCTTCCCACATATACACATAAAATATTTTGTTTCTATATCTTTTCGTTTTCGTATAATCAACCGAGGCGAATGAGGTGCGCCACCCTGTATAAACCTACTATATCCATTAAACGATTAAACAGCCTTATACATTTTTAGATTGTAAACATCAATCTATAAGTATGTTTTCATTTCAGTGTTACTTAAAGAAACTTTTATATTTTTCGATCCAAATTTAAATAAGAATATCGCTGAAGATCAAAACATGTATTTTCCGATAGACAGGAATGCAATAAAAATTGGAATAAACCAACTCTTCTCTCTGTATCAAAAGGTCACATCGTGGAACAGAGAGTTTCGTCCAAATAACGATCCAGTAGAATATGTTAAAGATTCGTTTATAGAAAACTAGTGTGTACTAGTATATCCGACGCGACTTCGTTCGCGTCGGATTAATCATTTGTAATGGTGATGATCAAGCAAAGCAAGAATTTCCATTAACATACAAACTAAGATAAAATTTTCTTACATTTATGTCAGCATGAGAAAAAACAATATGGCGATATTATTATATAACTTGGTATAATATTTGAGGGGTAGTTTCATCTCGTTGGAATTTGACTTTCGAAAATCCGTTTGCCAAAAATAAGCTTTTTACGTCAAGCAGTTTAAGCAGAATCGTGATTAATCAATTACCCAACTTTTGGAACACCTGTATGATTTTTTAAAAATTTTAAAATATGTAAAAAAACAAAATCAATTATGCGTGTCCAAGTGTTTTCCCGAAAGGCTCGCCGTATTTAAATAACATATATTGTAATATTTGTGGGTCGTTTTCATCCGCTTGGAATTTGAAATTCGAAAAACCCCTCCTTATCGAACCTCTACACCCCACAGTAAATCCGTTTGCCAAAAATCAGCTTTAAAAGTCAAACAGTTTAAGTAGAATCGTGATTACTCAATGGTTATATTTTATGAAACACCCTGTATAAATTTTTAAAAAATCTTAAAATATGTAAAACAACGAAATAAAATATACATGTTTAAGAATTTTTCCGAAAAACTCACCGGTTTTTAAATAAAAAATATTCTAATATTTGAGGGGTGGTTTCACACCCTCAGAATTCGAGTTTCGAAAAATCCCTTCTTATCGAACCTCTACACCCTAAAGTCAATCCGTTTTCCAAAAATCAGCTTTTTACGTCAAGCGCTTTAAGCAGGATCGTGATTAATCAATGACCAATTAATCAATTTTTCGAAACACCCTGTATACATTTTTAAAAAATCTTAAAATATGTAAAAAAAGAAAATAAAATATACGTGTTCAAGCGTTTTTTCGAAAGCTTGACCGTTTTTTAAATAAAAATATTCTAATATTTGAGGGGCGGTTTCACCCCCTTAGAATTCGAGTTTCGAAAAATCCCTTCTTATCGAACCTCTACACCCTAAAGTCAATCCGTTTTCCAAAAATCAGCTTTTTACGTCAAGCGCTTTAAGCAGGATCGTGATTAATCAATGACCAGATTTTTCGAAACACCCTGTATACATTTTTAAAAAATCTTAAAATATGTAAAAAAAGAAAATAAAATATACGTGTTTAAGCGTTTTTTTCGGAAACTTGACCGTTTTTTAAATAAAAAATATTCTAATATTTGAGGGGCGGTTTCACCCCCTTAGAATTCGAGTTTCGAAAAATCCCTTCTTATCGAACCTCTACACCCTAAAGTCAATCCGTTTTCCAAAAATCAGCTTTTTACGTCAAGCGCTTTAAGCAGGATCGTGATTAATCAATGACCAGATTTTTCGAAACACCCTGTATACATTTTTAAAAATCTGAAAATATGTAAAAAAAGAAAATAAAATATGCGTGTTTCAGCGTTTTTCGGAAACTTGACCGTTTTTAAATAAAAAATATTGTAATATTCCACCCCCCTTTTTACCCCCTTAGGGGATGAATTTTTAAAAATCCTTTCTTATCTTACGTAAACATCATAAAAGGAACCCCTGTGCAAAATTTCAGCTTTCTAGGGTCAAGGGTTTGGTCTGGGCGTTGATGAGTCAGTATCAGTCAGGACAGTCAGATTTATATATATAGATATTCAAAATATCCAATGCCTTTATAGTCTAAATTAGAAAATGTTTTAGAGATAAGGGAAATGCCATTCGTTTCTTTTGTTTGAACTGTTTACTTATTACTACTTATATACTGTGTTGTTTACTTATATTTACTTATATACTATTACTGTTATTTTATTATGTTGTATTAAACATTTAATAACTTATAATAAATGCATATCTGTATGCATATAATAATTATAATGCATATATTTAAGAAGCAAACTATATTAAGTCACAAAACATTGTTTTGAGAAAAACGAATTTAAAGTTATTTCTTAATTACTCTGTATATTTTTAAACCTATGATTGTAATATTTGGTGGTTGGTTGTAATTGTTTTGAAGAAGTGTAAAAATGTGTTATTAATATTTATAATAATTAGTAGTAGGAATTTGTATCAAAAATTAATATATTTAGGTGATCGTAGTTGTTTTTTATTATAAAAACTAGTTGTGTTATAGATTCATAACACTACTATAATAGTTGTGTTATAAATCTCATAACGTAACTGAAATACTAAAAAATAGTGATGTAAAAACGTTATAACTAAACGGTTGTAGATAAAATAGATTACCAATACTATTACAAATAATACCAACAATTTTTTGAGTGACTTAAAAAAATTTGTATAGGTACTAGTAAGTCGGAGAGAGCAAAAATTTGAAGTATTTAGTACATAACCACTTAATTCGACGCTACATTTCATGCGCTTGGAAAAATACTTGCTCTTCTGTCTTTGTTCAGTATTAATTAAGATTAACTTATATTAAGATTAACTTATAAGTCATCATTTATACCAAAATGAATAAAGCTAAATCACTTTAAGTCCAAATAAAAGTATATTAATGGTATAATAAAAAAGCATTTAACAGAAAATTGTAAAACAGGTATGTATGTTGCAACTTGGAACCAATGTACTATCTTTATTAAGTTTAAATTAACTACCCTATTGTAGCAAAACAGTCCAAATCAATTTTCGTCACTGTGGACCCGTGGACATAACATACTAAACTAACCAAAGATGTTTGTGTCAAACTGCGTTTACGTGATTTAAACTCATTTAGTCCAGGGCCAACATTACCCAACATTAGGCTGACAAGTCACTGGTTTTAAAAGTAAAAATGCGTATACATAAACATGCCGCGTAAAACTACTATTTGTACTTCTAGTATTTACATGTTATCATGTATTAATATAAATTCTTGTTTTTCTTTTGAAGGTGGGAAAATTAGTGGATAGGCTGGAACATATGCGAAGAAACGCTTTGGGAAGAGGGCCTAACCAATGCTTGTTATGTGGTGAAAATTTTAGACTTTTGGGACCCCAAAGAATCAGATGCATAGACTGCTTACGATGGGCTTGCCAAAAATGTGCCATAGATACGAATAATGCTAAAAATATAAGGTATAATAATATTTATATTATTTTTTTAATATACAATATATACAGGGTTTCTCACCGTAGCCGTTCGTTAGAAGTTTTTGAGGTCAGGAAAAACTTAGAAGTTTGAAATTTTGAAACTTAGGGTTATTTAAAATTTCCTTTCATTTAAAAACATTTTCAAGGTCACACCACTTCCGGTTACACCGGAAGTCGCCATTAACTTCCTTATTTTAAATGGAACACCGTATATATTATTTTATTTTTGGATTTCTAAGAAAATTTTATGACGAGTTTCATTAGGTTTCCCTATACCTATTTTCAACTGTTTCTCAGATATCTTGATTTATTTGAAAATTTTTACAGATTACCCTATTTTTAATAGTGCGTCTTTTACTAATTTTGAATCGGAGATAAAAGCTTCTGCGGTAAACGGAAGCAGAGGACTAATATTTACATTCGATGTCCATATTGACAACTAATTTATTACATACAGGGTGTCCAAAATTTGATAACCGATTAGATTATTTTCAAACTCAAAAAAGTTCATTTTTTCAAATGAGACACCCTGTATATTTTTCGATAGTTGGATGCAGAATTCAATTCTGCATCGATTTGCTATAACTTTCCCTATACCCATTTTCAACGGTTTTCTTGTTAATCCGTATTTTTTACTTTAATTCAATTTTTGGCAGAATTGACAATATGCACAAGCAGTTGACATTAATGTTTCAAGATCGCTGGACTGGTCCACAAGGACCCTGGAACTGGCCGCCACGGTCACCCGATTTAACGCCCCTCGATTTTTACCTCTGGAGGCGTATAAAAGAGTTGGTGTATTCTACGCCTGTACGTACTAGGGATGAGTTATTAAACCGTGTTAACCATGCGTTTACTTAATCTATGCCCAAAAAAAATCCGGAGTAGAGCTTTCAATGTTTCAACCAAAATAGCAGTCACTTCGAACAATAATTTTTGTAATTATTATGTTTACTTTTTTATGACGGTAGGGATACACTAATGTCTAGTGTTAATAATTAATGCCTCACCGTTACTGTTATACGATTGTTTTGTTATGTTCTATTATATTTTATATGATTTCACTTTTGTTTTGTTCCTGTTTTGTTCGTATGTTCTAATTACATTCAATTTTGTTACTTTAACATAACTATTTTTTTAAAAAAACACAAACGATATTGTCGATTCCGCCAAAAATTGAATTAAAATAAAAAATAAGGATTAACAAGAAAACCGCTGAAAGGGGGTATAGGCAAAGTTATAGCAAATCAATGCAGAATTGAATTCTGCATCCAACTATCGAAAATATACAGGGTGTCTCATTTAAAAAAATGAACTTTTTTGAGTTTGAAAATAATCTAATCAGTTATAAAATTTTGGATACCCTGTATGCGATAAATTAGTTGTCAATATGGACTTCGAAAGTATTAGTCCTCTGCTTCAGTTTCCCGCAGAAGCGTTTATCACCAATTCAAAATGAGTAAAATACCCACTGTTAAAAATAGGGGTAAATCTGTAAAAATTTTCAAATAAATCAAGATATCTGAGAAACAGTTGAAAATAGGTATAGGGAAATCTAATAAAACTCATCATTAAATTCCCTTAGAAATCCAAAAATAAAAGAATATACAGGGTGTTCCATTTAAAATAAGGAAGTTAATGGCGACTTCCGGTGTAACCGGAAGTGGTATGACCTTGAAAGTATTTTTAAATAAAAGGAAATTTTAAAATACCCAAACTCTCAAAATTTCAAACTTCCAAGTTTTTCCTAACCTCAAAAACTTCTAACGAACGGTTACGGTGAGAAACCCTGTATTTTCCCGTACCACAAGAGTGATCATAATAAATAAAAATGACATCATAATTTTAATTGATTAATTTTTCCTTCTTTATTAATAGTACTGCGTCCAGAGAACACTACTTGTGCATGATTTGTGCCGAAACAAGGGAGATCTGGAAGAAATCAGGAGCGTGGTTCTTCAAAAGCATGCCCAAGTATATCTTACCGGGCGATTCCAAGTTCAAAAGGAACAAGAGCATGCGAATGTCCAGGAAGTACCGGGACGAGGACAGCAGTTCCGATGAAGATCGGAAATGGAACAGGCAGCGGAGGAATTCTGGAACAGAGAGCACATTCGGTAAGACATTTGATGGGATCAGTAAATGTCCATGATACAAAGAATACAAGGTATGATATTGCGCAGGTTGGTCACTACGTCACAGGTGATAAACGGCACCATTGGTCGGCAAGCTCTGCGCGCCAATTTCAAATTGTCAAACAGATTGTGTCATCTGTGAAATTTGATTGTGTCAAAATGTGAAAATAATTTTTCAAATGTCAAGCTCGATGTCAAAACATAACTTTTGGGGTTATGTCCTAATTCTTCCCTATTTTAGGTCTTTTTTTATTAGTGGCAATGGAACAATATGGATATTTTTTTGTATGGCGTATGACGTCACAGGTGGTATGCGTAAACTTAACGAAAGTAGAGCCGCTATCGATCATACCTTGTTTTCTTTGTACCATGGTAAATGTCATACCTAATTTGTTACATTTTTTCAATAACAGTCAGTGTCATGTAGTACGAGAGCTAGCAACGTCGGAAAAACAAGTATTTTAACGTCTGGCTCTTTGATATGTATATCTTTTACTATGCTCTTCTAGAACAGCATGCGGCCCGTCTGGCTGCCGGTAAACGTTGCGTTCCCTACTGCGCATTGAAAGAAGATTCTATATTTTTATTAGTGCTTTAAATTAAAGTATTGAATATAAACCGACCTAGTCTCCATAGCTCAGCGCGTAGAGGTTTCGCCTATCAAGCGAGGAGTCAGAGTTCGAATCCGGGTGCAGGGCAAAACCTTTTTTATTTTATTTTTGTTTATATTCTGATAGTAAAGTATTAAATTATTTATTTGTTTTTTTTTGAATCACCAGAATTATTTAATACTTTACTATCAGACTATTACTACCACTCAGACAAAGATTTTCCTAGATATTTTAATTTTTATGATTTTGCGTCAATAGATCTTTATTATTTGGAACAATCTAGGAGGGGGGGATGACTGTGATATACCTTTTGTTAATTTAACAAAAGTTAAAGATTGTGGAGTAAAATACTCAATGGTAATAAAAAGATACATGTTTAAAACATATTTTAATTATTACACAGAATTAAAAATAGATATAAACATATAATCATGTGACAAAAATTATCTAAATGAAATCAAATGCTCAAAATACTTCCTTTCCTGTTAACTGCATAAAATGATTGTCTTTTCAAAAGGATCTTTCCATTTTAAAAGGCATGTAAAGTTCTACCTCGAAAAACCGCTACAATAATTTCTCTCATGTTGTCTCTTCTAGTTTGCCCAACATATTTCTGATTACAATCTTTACAAGAAATTTCATAAATACCCGACCTTTCCAGTGGAGGTGTTTTATCTTTTGGATTACCTAATAATTGTTGTAATTTATTATTAGCACTATACACAAGTTTATAATTGACATTCTTAAAAATTCCTTTTAGACCACGGGATAATTCTCTATCAAACGGCATTGAAAAATATTTAGACGTATCTTTCTTCACTTGAAAAGTCGAATTTTCAGAAATCATTAACCTATACCTACGTTTTCTAATTAATTTATCAACTAGTGAAGGAGAATATCCATTGCACTCAGCTACATTCCTAATGTAATCTCTTTCTATTTTATATCTTTCGTTGGAAAGTGGGAAACTAAGTAATCTATGAACTAAGAAATTTAAACTAGCCATTTTATGTTCAACACTATGATGTGATTCATTAGGAATATATCTGCGTGTGGTGGTATTTTTCCTATAGATATCAAATTCCAGGCAATTATTTGTATTTCTAATAACTAATACATCTAGAAATGGTAATCTGTCGTTGTTCTCAATTTCATGCGTAAATTTAATGGAAGGAAAACGATTATTTAACTGTCCAATTTAATTATCCAATTCCTTCAAGTTCTTTGTTACTACTACTCTAGTGGCGGAAATTAACTGTTACGCTCAGTTGGCTCTGACTCTTTATAATGTCTTTGGCTCTGACTCGGTTGGCTAGATTTTGCCACGCCCACTCGGTACCTACTGGGGAGTATATAAACGCTCAACTTGTAGATTGTACTTGAGTTTATAATCATCTGCTGATGATGCTAACATGGTTAGCAAAACGCGCGTCCAGTGTAAAAGTAAAAGTGTTTTGGTGTATTGTGGTGATTTAGTGTAATTTTATTTTGCAGTGTTTGTAATTTTGGACATGTAGAATTTTTTACTTTTTTTAACCTAATATTTTTGAAAAAACTTTTTAAATGAGTTTTATTATTTTACAAAAAACTTTTCCACAGTTTTTTTACATACATCTATCTGATCATATCTTGCTATCTTACAGTTTATGTTGATATGCATTAAAATAATATTGAAATCGTGGCTTTGTGATTTAAGCTCAGATTTAAGTATTTTAGTTTTTGCTAGTGCAGTTATTGAAACTATAAAACACTTTTAATAAAAAATCAATTTTTTTCAAAGGGGTATATCTCGACAATCGAAATCTTTCAAATTAAATATCTCGGAAACTGTGCATTTTTGAAACACAGTTTAAATGGGGCGAATATAGAGCTCCACTCATCCGTAGAGGCCTCACTGGTCGTTTAGCTACTTATTACCGCGTTTCCGAGAGGATACATCTTATTTTTATTTACACCTTTTTTTTTTTTTGCTGGTATAATTTAATATAGTGATCAAACGCCAAAATTTTCGAAGTGACTTCCACGCTTAATATCAACGTTAACACCTTAACAATAATATCTTAACCAGACTATATTGTCATGTTTTTTTTTATTTCCTCCTGTTGAGGTTGCGATTTCACTAGAGCGCGTCACTCAGTCAGAGCTAAGGGCGGAGGGGGCGATAGCCCCCCCGTGCCCCCTGTATTTAAAAACAATGTAGCTGAATCTATTGATTAAGTTTCCAGATCCCTTTTTTATGGGTTAGTCAACTTTTAAAAACAACAAAAAAAATATTCCTACATACAATTTTACGAGGATTAAATTCTAAATCCTATTTTTAATAACTCTGTCAAGTCCTGTTCAGCTATGCTGGAAATGTTTTGTGTAGAAGTCCTTTTCTGGAAATGTGTCGATATTTATTAATCGAGAACGAAAACTGCCAATAAAACACAGTTTTAAAATTAAAATTGTTCGTTCCAGAAAATATTCGAAAATTTCAAATAATTTGAAATAAAATTACTGCTAAATACGTTCGACATTTAATAAAGCATAAAGCCTGGGCAGAGAAAAAGTTATTTCAAAAATGTATTTTATTATTCATTAATTAAATATTTCGTGCTATAACAAAAATACACTTTCAATAAAATCTTTTGTTTGATTTTAATTTTTTTAATCGTTTTTTTTAAACCATTTCTATTACAAAATGTTGATTTTAAAATATATGTATTTATGTTTTTTTTGAGGAATTGCATTACTAATTTTTAGATATTAAAAAAATAAAGGTTTCTTCATAATGTGAGATCAGAAAGAAAACAGAAACATCTGTGATGGCTTTTAATTCGTTTTGGTTTGAATTAAAATTATTAGAATGAATGAAGAATTAATTATATTAATTAATAGAATATCCTAGCAACAGCTTGCGTTAGTCAGTTGTATCCATAGAGAAAGCCTAATATTTAGATTATAAAACAAATAAACTTTTGATTTCTAACCACGATCTTGATGGAAGATAATAGGTTTGTTCCAACCAGAATTTCGGAATCGTTTCTAGAGGTGGGTTGTGAAATCGCAGTCCGCTACTTTGTCACAGCTCCACCAACGTCGCAGTATGTGACTGCTCCAGTTCCAAGAAAATCGCAGTGACATTTCGGAGCAGTTTACCAGTTTAGGACATCTGCGCTCGTGAGTAGCAATAGGAGCAATAGCAGGCAATAGTGTAAATTCTGAAAATGCTCCTAGCCCCGTCGCCCGGTCAGACTGTTCCAGTCACAGTCGTCGCAGGTCGCAGTCGACTGGAGCTTAGTATATTGAGTATATTCTGTGTACTGGAGCTGTTGGGAGTTTGGGAACGGGAAACGTAGCAGCGTTCGCTTTTTGAAGAGTTTTTTGACAAAGATGTACAGATGTTTTTGACAAAGGTAATTTTTAACTTGTTAGTATGTTTATTTGTTAGTTAATTTTGTATCTGTGTTTTGTTGTATATCCTAAATCTTTTATTTGATCTTATACATTCATATAAGTTTTATTATTTATATCTATTTTTAAGGTCTGATGATGGCTAAATAGCCGAAACCGGTCACTAATAAACCTTTTTTTGAGAGTTTCGACTTTGAATTGAATATAACATTAAGTTTTTACCATGGGCCACCACTCTGTGAAAATGAACAGACTCTTTAAGATATTTATAGCAAAGTGCTTGGTACTTAGAAACACTCAAATTCTTCTGAATAGACAAAAAATATAGCAACATCTATCAAACTAAGACATCAGTATAGTACCGTACAGCCGCGATTTTAAGAGCTCTAGGGGCCCGTAGTTCGGAAAAGTTCGAATCTTGTACGTAAGGGCCCGGGAGGCTTGGGGCCCGTCGGTGACTTACCCCGATTGCACAGACGTTAAAATCGCCACTACTGATCGAAATAAAAAACGGCGTCCAGTTGGCTTGGAAATGACAATCGATAACATTCCCCATAAATTTTACATATAAAATGCCAGCAATCTTCATTTCATAGCTATCGCTGACGCCGTTTTTTCGATCATACGATATAAATAAATAAAAACTAGACGATGATGTTGCCTATCATAATCACACCTATAGTCCTGTACTTTTTTAGTAATGCAACGAACGGTGCCAACACCGAGTGTGATTTTTCGGAGCAATTAATTAAAATAAAACTACATTTTTAATTTATAGGTTAATTGTATCCATAAAATCGCCTAATATTTAGATCACAGTGCTTTTATTGGAGCAGTCGCAGAGCGTAGCAGCTCCACAAAAATCGCAGACTGGCCCACCTCTAATCGTTTCGAAATCGTACTCGAATCGGTTTTCTTGCACTTTGTCAGCATGCGCGGATTTCGAATAGTTTCGTGACGGTGCAAAAAGTATCA